CATGCTCGCCTTGTATCGCAACCTCGACGTCATCGTCGCCAAGCCACCCCACCCAGCCGATCCTACCGTGAGGACGAACGCCGCCATGGCTCAGCGACTCATTGTTAAAGTGTTCTGGAGCTGTACCCAGTTTATATTGCCGCCCTGTATGGCAGACGTTGACACCCTCACCAGCTGGATGAACGCGTTTTTGGAAACGTTTCGCAGACCCACGTTGCATCCGTACATCGACGATGTGGAAGAGCTCAACATCGAGCCCGAGTGGAAGACGAAAAAATGGATTGCTAATGTCCTCACGCGCTTTCTCAAGCGCTATGGCTCGCCCAAGAAGGTCCCCATCGACGAACCGTGGGCTAAGCAAGTCGCCCTGGTGTTCAAGGAGCGCCATGCGGAGGAAGCCACCACCGCCATGCTCGAGGTCCTGTCGGCGGAGACCAAGGGGCAGCAGCTGAGCCAGCGCGTCGCCCACTTGGCCCTCGACTTTATTGAAGAGGCCATCGAGACGGCTGCTCTGTGGGCTGTTATTCATCCTCACGTTGACACCTTACTTGCTCGCATTGTCTTTCCATATCTATGCTTTTTGCCAAGTGATGAGGAAACATGGGTGAACGACCCCAGTGAGTATGTGAGGAAGCAGTACGACTTCAACGACGATTTCACATCGCCACGAATGGCTGCCTCCAATTTGCTTACCAAGATGAGTGACCTACGCTCAAAGAGCACTATCCTTCCCTTTATACAATATTTACTGCAAAATGTTCTCGATCCTTTTCAAAGGGCTCCCGTCGGATCACAGCAACGCGCGACTCTAGCACGGCAGAAGGTCGGCGCGTTTGCCTTGCTGGCCGCCGTGAAGGCCAAGCTGATGTCAAAGCAGGATTTGTCCGAAAGCTTTCTCAGCGTCCTTAAGACGCATGTAGAACCGGACCTGCGCGCCGAATTTGGCTTTTTGCGGGCAGAATCAGCCTGGCTTCTGGGGCAGATTGCAGCACGCGGGTGGAACGAATTTTCAGCCCAACTCGGTGAAGCGTCATTGCGCGGGTGCGTGAATTTGCTCGAAGATTCGGAGCTTCCCGTACAGGCCGCTGCTGCCGGTGCGCTGCAGTTTTTGATGGACCAGGACGGGTCTTCTGCGCTGATTGCCGGTGTCGCGCCACAGCTTTTGCAGCGACTGTTGCAGTTGATGGACAACATGTCGGATGGATACGCATCGTTGCTTCCAGCTGTGGACAAGCTTGTCGTGCGGTATCCAGACGAGATTATGCCGCTGACCGTTCCGCTTGTGCAACGGCTGATGGTTGCGTTTGGGCAATCTGCTCGCGCCATCATTGTTGATGGTGACGATGAGGATGACGAAATGGCGTTTGCTTCAGCACAAGTTTTGAATTTGATTTCGTCCATCATTTCTGGGTTTGCAGAATGGAGGCAGCCATCAAGAGAAGAGAAGGCTTCTGTCTTGCACTCTGTTGAGGCAGAATTGCAACCACTGCTCAGTTCGATGTTTGACGAGTCGCACCAGGTGTTTGTGGAAGAACTGCTGGACATTCTCGGGAGCCTGATCATGCAGACGGGCGAGCTTAATGGAAAACTTTCCCCCTTTTTGCTTTCTCTCATTCCAAGAATGGTTCATGGATTCCACGACTGGGCCGCTGATTACGCCGAACACATGATGGAAGCGGTGACAGGGTATTTGCGGTTCGACTTGCCATCTGTAATTTCCCTTGATGGCGGCACGAATGCATTTGTCCCAATGATCAAGAGACTATGGTCTGACAACTTTGACGACAGCGATGCCAACTTCGGTTCCAGAATCGCTGACATGCTTATTCTAAATCTGAACAAGGTGCAACCTCTTTCGAATGAGCTCATACAACAAGTGATTGTCGAACTTGCACGAGGCGCTGCTGAGAGATGCGTCAAGACGGCGCCGGATCAGACGGCCTTGCGACAGCGACTATTTTCGATCGTCATGTTGTGCACATACGTGGATGCAGGTAGCGTGTTGAAGGGGCTCGGACCGACATCGGTTATGCAGTTGATAGGGTCGCATTCAAACGACTTGCATTTGTTCGATCGGATACACTCGAAAAAGTCGTTAATCCTGGGCATTGGTGCAATCCTCTGCACACGAGGTGTCATCGACGAGGAATCGAAACCTCCTCTGCTGAACCTTGCTATTCGACTGCAGATGATGATTGACGAACAAAGAACGTCAAACTGCCAGGCAGGAGAGCAGGTAACTGAAAGCCTAGCTGCCCTGTCAAAGGATACCAACGGAACATCACCATTTGCTTTTGCACCCATCAATGATCAAGGGTCCGACTTGGAAGACGACCAGGATGCGACCAATTTCGTGGATGATCTAAATGACGCAGACGAGGGGGGGCTAGAAAAGCTGGCGGCTGGGACCGGAATCTCAGTGGAAACGCTAGAGCAACTCAACACAAACGGTACAATCGAGCATGGGTTTTTCGACCTCGACGCATTGGCGGAAGAAGATGACGATGAGGGGACTTTCGATTCTCATCCCCTCGATGACATCGATGAGGTCGAGTGTCTTGTTCGAAATGTGAAGGAATCCACAGCGGACAATACATGGTGGAGCAAGGTTCCCGAGCAAGACAAGATCGCAATGGAGCAACTTGCGAGGAGGACCCAATAGCGGGTCTGTTGTTGCTGTGCTTCATGGAACCTCTTAAAAATTTTGGTGGAAGGATCTTTTGCGTGGAGCCTGCCTGAAGTCGTTACAAAGGCGCTGACAACGACAGTATGTCCACGATATGTTTTTTATGTGGCGCTGCGTTGGATTGGACGATATGACCTGAAAGATGATCGGTGGACCTTTCGCGGCTTTATTCAGGGTTCCGAGATGGCGTGCTTTATTGATGCAAATAGATCTCTGGACATGGACAGGATGGTTTGCTATAGTAAGAAAGATTACGAAGGATTAAAGTTGGTGTTGATTTTTTTTTTTTTTTTTACAGTACAGTATGGTCTTCACGACAGGATTAGCGCTTGTCTGCCCCCATTGTCTGCTCTATCCTTGGTGCGCGCAGACTTGCAGGTCCCCGATCCAATGTGTCGTATGCGATGTAACAGTCGGCGACTCCAGCATTGCCTTCGAAGATGGAAGGCACAATGGCAAGAGCAAGGCCTCTCAGCATTGCGACAATGCGTGAATCCTGCTATTTCAGAGACCGTCCATTTGATGTTTGGTGTGGGCAAGCCGCTGTGCAACGTCGCTACACGTGGGCACAAATGCGTGACTTAGTCATTAGGCGGATGCTGATTTATCCGATGAGAGTCAACGAACCTTTGAGCAATTCAGTACATTACATGATGCTCACAACGCACGTTCCACAAAGGACTACCCTGCCTTCTTCTTCACCACTGATATCGATAGATTTCTTCGGCTCGAACCAGTGTCACCTGATTCTGCCTTTCAGAAACGATAGCGAAGTCGTGGCAGAAGCAAACCATTGTCTGTTCAGTTCTGTTGATGCAAAATATTCTCTTGCCAGAAACGGCGCGCAATTCTCAAAAACACCTGATCTCGATTTGATGCTGCACTACTGTTGGTAGGAGGGATCGTTCTGACACCGAATTCAGTTTCGGTCCCCAGCAAGACACCTCGGTTATCCACTCAGCAACGCTATATGTAGTTGAATTCTGCGTATCCATGGAAAGTAGCTTTCTTGAAAAGTAAAAACATAGATTCGCAAACTATGTCTAAAGTTTAACCAACATCGGTTGTGCGAAAACGGTTTACACATTCTTCCGTTTTCAAAGCGAGGCAGCCAAAATTCTATCGGGTCATCTTTAAGTGCGAGGGAAGGACACCACCCTGAAAGTGAAACTGCAACTTTCTTAGAATTTATTCTCGAGAACGCCTCGTGATGAGACGTAGAGGAACTTTGTTCTCCCCGGTGAGGCCTCTTTTGTTACGCTCCGCGCAAAAAGTAAAGACACCGGTTTTCAACACCTGGGACGTTGACAACTGGCGTAAGTGAAAAGAAAAACAAGCCAATCTTCCTCCTTGCGTGAGAAAAACGTATTCCCAGAAGGGTATCATTCAACTTGAAGTTGAAGTTTGACTTTGGCGGAAAGGCTACTACAGTACCCGTTATGATTATAATAATAGTTTCGCTTTAAGCGGTTCCGCGCCAAACAAAAGCAATATGCATGTCACTATTGAAGCCCTACTACAGGCCTTGAAGGTAGACGTTCCTCGACAGTGATTGGTTTTGGAGTTTTAAAAGATGTCTCGAGGAAAAATTTGAGCGAGCACGAACGAGGACAAATTGAGGCCCTGAACGGGAAAAGGCTTTCTTAGCGAGTAACTGCAAAGGAGCTTGACCGTTTTATGACCGTGGTGAGGAAGTAGTTGAGGTTGCAAGAACAGTATGGAGCCAAAATACGTGCCGGTAGGCCGCCAAAAATGACGGAGTATGACGCTGGCCTTCTTCTTCGCGAAGCTTCTACTCAACATAAATCAGACTTGAAGCTCCGAAAGGAACTCATCTTACCAATCAAAAGAGCGCAGTGTATGTCAGCTTTTAATTGGCAGTGGACTGTTTCGATATTGCCGCATGAAGAGAGGTCAAGCTTTTGACTGCTCGACATAAAAGTGCGCGATTAGATTCGCACGTGTTCGCTTCATCTTGGGCGTTCAGAGGGGGCGCAGAGTTGTATTAAGCTGCGAAAAATTCAACTTGGACGGCCCAGACGGGTGGTCTACCATTGGCATGAGGATTTTCTTTTTCTTTTTCAATTCGGCAAAATGGAGGGGCATCTGTAATGGTCTGGTGTGTGTTTTCGGTGATGGGAAAGACTAATTTGGCCTTTCTGAATAGAACGAAGAAGGATAACGACTATACTGTATTAAGACGCTAGAAGACAATTTCATGCCTGTCACAAACTTGTGTCATGCTTCGCATTGGATATCATAACAAGACGGGCTTCGAAGCACACTGCTCAGCACTCCAAAGTTTGGTTTTTGAACTATAATATCAACGTGCTCTTATGGCCTTCGCGTCCTCTTGACTTAAATGCGATGTAGAATGTATGAGAGATAACTGCAAGAAGGATGTATGCTGAAAAATGGCAGTTGGCGAGCGCATGGGAGGTAAGAGAGTGTATTGGTGAAACGTGGGACTCTCTTTTGCGTTAAAATGCTGTTGAACTTGTCAGGTCATTTGACAGGAAATTTGGTGAAGGTAGTTGAAAGAGCAGGAAGCAATGTGAAGTAGTGAAGGCGTTTTACGTATTCTTTCAAGAAGTTTTTAGTGGAGTTGCGCGTACTGTTGTAGCCTTTTTGTCCAAAAAGAGGAACTTGAATGCACGTTTCAAAAAGGGCCGTTGGTGGCCTTGTCAAACCAGGAAACTAACACAGTGTGAGTGTTGCTTTTCTAAGTAAGTATTGACCGTCCCATGTTTAAAAAACAAGTATGCATGTTGTATGACGTGTAATAGGTTTCTCTTGGATCTGTCACAACTGTACATACGGCACATAGATACTGTACTACTACAACTGCATACACTGCATACATACTGTATCCTGCATTCTCAAAGAGTTTTGGGAGGGAAGGTTACTTTGAGATGAGCCTTCACACGTGTACATGTGGCACCTTCTGTACATTTGACAGATGACAGATTCAAAAAGCTACGCTGCCCGCTTCCGGCGGCACCGATTCATTTTCGCTTCAGCATTTTATCTGCTACGTGCCCTCTAAGAATCCTTATCGTTCGTCGTGTGTACATTTGGCAAAACGCAAACGAAACAACTACCAGCGAGCCCCAGATTGCTCTCTAACACAGCAATGGCCAGAGAAGAAGTCGCCGACCATGTCGTGCCGACAGAGGTGACCCAGAGCAAGCTCAAGGCCTGCATGTCCTGTTCGCTAATCAAGACCACCCAACAATTTGTCCAGGACGGATGCGACAACTGCCCGTTCATGAGCTACGAGAACGATAGAGAACGCGTCGGAGCTTGCACTACTTCCCAGTTCACGGGGTGAGTCCACTTTTTCGTACCATCCCCTCGCTGTCCCTGCATGCGCCGCCCAGAATCGGAACGCTGACGCCTTGCTTTTTTTTGCTTCTTTCATCTCTTCTACGCTCAGAACGTACGTCGTCATGCAGCCAGCCCGATCTTGGGTCGCCAAATGGCAGAGGGTTGGTACGTTGTCTCGCGCACTTCATGACTCTGCTTTCCGTATTGCGTAGCTTCGTGCACTCGTTTATTGCGCTCGTCGTGCTTCCCGCTGCGCACAACCGATAGGATGAATCACTGTAGCAAAATGCTGACAAATACACTCCCCCCCCCCCCCCCCCCCCCCCACCACTACCACCATACTCAGCCACCTTTGTTCCTGGGGCATACGCAGTTTCAATTGATGCAAAGATGCCTGAAGATATCGTCGAACAGCTTGAAGAAAACAGGATGCGAATGCACAACGTACTCGCAACTGCCCCCAAAACTGAATGAACAAAAATGCCCCCTTTCTCCCCCTCGGATTACCCTAGAATGCCGTCATCTGCTCGACTTGCGTCTAGTGGTGCAAAGTGTGACCAACCAATCAAAGCCCCATGACAAGGGGATCTCGCTATGAATACGGTGCGTTTGTTCTACGGCCGATACAAAATGTCTCCTGTACATAAGAAATCTCATAGACTCCTGCCTTCACAATATAACAGACGTCTTCGCTGCTGTTCCTACTCTTACTCCTATTCCTACTCTCCACACGACTCTTTCGCACGTGCCGAGTGATGCTGAGGGGAGGGCTGCATCAGCCGTTGCCGCTTCTCAGGTGTTCCGGCGGGGGAGACGTGTGGCGTGATCTGCGGCTCACGATGACTATCATGACCAGAAGCACGACAAAGAGTCCGCCGCCACCGGCCAGTCCGAAGACAAACCCCCAGTCTACCGCTGAGCCGCCGGGTTCCAACTCGTTGGGGCTAGAGCCAGGATCTGTGGGCGGGGTCGCCCGAACGCATTTGTTGTCAAACGAATCGGGGTCGCTTGCGAAACGGAGCAGGGTTTTCACGGCCTCGAATCCCTCCTGGCACGTCGGGAGAATCTCATCTTCCGGTAGTAAAAACGCTGGCTTGTCCACGCCGTGCATGCTTGGGCGCAGCTCTATGGTATAACTGAGAATGTTTTGACTTGCGACCCAGTCGGTCATCGTGCCTCCGACGGTATAAAGGAAGGTGCCATGGGTGACATTGTACGGCAAGCCGTGTCTGCTCGTCATGGCGTCGCCCATGGCATTTCCGACGCCGCAATTGCTGGCTTCACGCGGCGGTACATTGGTTTTGTTTTCCGTGAAGCTCCACGGCCTCAGGACCAACTGGCCGAACGAGTGAAAGTCGATATGCGTATCGATGCCCGGGTTTGCCTGGATGAGGTCCCGCAGGGCCCTCGACTCGGGCTCCGAAAACGGGGCGGCGCCATAAAACGTACCAACGCACGGGCTTCGCCGCGGATCAGCTCCGCCGCTGAAATTGTGGCCCCAATTGCGGTTCAAGTCGACGCCGTCCATTTCCTCTGCGGGGCAGCCGGAACGGAGGCGTTTCTTCCTCTGCA